CAAGCTGGAGGATTGTGTTCCCGGGTGCCGTTTCTCGACTCCGCCCCCGCTGCTGCACGGCCTGTCACACCCCATAGCCATACGCCTTCCTTTTCTGCGCTCCCTCACTTCTACTTGTTTTCTACTTCCAGCTATACATGTTCGCTAGGGGTTTTCAGTATCGACACAAATGCTTCACCTTGAGGGTAGCGCTGGTGCGGTCCTAAATGGCATCCCAGCTTTAACTCGAGCATACGGCTCTAAATACGCGTTCTTCCAGACGATGGTGTAACATTTGTACAGTGCCAACTCGTTTACTCCACATATGGGAAGGACCGTCCTCGGTGGTGAGTGTACTGCTTTCCTCCAAACTGACTAGTTAGGATACCAACTCGGCATTGTTTACCCTTGACTGCCCCACTGTACGAAATCTGACCAGCTTTTGAAAAAAGTTTCTCCCAGAGGGGAATCTTGCGAGCATTCTGGCGATGGGAATGATATGACCCCGTCAGAAGGACCAGAACATCCGCTCAGGACGAGAACGCCTGGTGTCGGCGTCACAAGCGCCAACTTCCAAACTCTCACCTGCACTCAACACTTTGGGGCCGCAATCCTACTGAAAACTGAACCCCATTGGTAGTTTTAACCGCCAAACACAACACCACATTCGCTTAGCTCTAAAGGCACCGATCTCGAGCCAAGCAAATGTGTAATGGCGTTTGGGGATCAAACTACTGACGATTATTTCGAAGAACACCCCCTGGGAAATTGTCTATGAATATGTGGCTTGGAATTCGAAGAGTATTGAATCAATCGAGAGTATTGAGAATATAGAGTAAATGAAGTATTCGTTATTTAGAGCACGGAGGGGCCCTATGGAAAAGGCTTCCAGCGAAACGCTGTGGATTTTTTACTATCAAAAAACAAAGAACAAAGAATACTTGCCAGTGTTAGACTTCACTACACCATCCTTTGATTTTGATTTTTCCTTCTGCCCATCAGCTTTATCAACGGAAGCAATCTGGAAAAGTGATTTTAGTGATTTGCCTCCTTCGCGGCCACTTTGAAAAGATGTATGTAGTCCGGAACAATTAGATATTAGATGATTTTTGCGCAATAAATAGTGGAAACAATTGTAGAGAAAACAGGAACATATGCATCTCACAGGCAGAGGGGACGCTACAGCCGAGACTTCTCGTGCCTTATGATCTCATTTTTCCAGTGTCTATGGTTGATCTCGTCGCAACAGGGGGGGGTGTGGAGGTGGGGGAGTAAGAGGGCGGCATCAGAGGGATCGGACTGAGCTCACCTTTGGCTGCGATCCAATCCTACCGAAATATGATATTTTAGTAGATCGATTCAATTTTTGAATTCGTTTTTTTTGAAGAAAATCAACACAAACAATGGTGAAAACGCCACGGGGACTAAATTCACATACGCTTTTGACACCGCCTCAACCCTGGGATGCGACACGCATTCTACTTCCATTCAGAAAAATTCATTCTACCCCATTCCGATGTACAAGTCAGTGTTTAATCCTTCCCAGACGAATCTAGCACCAATTCACCGTTCCAGAGGGTTGGCCTGGGTGGGAGCCGATATAGAATTTGATCGCCTCGACCGTGCGCGTGTAAACGTGCAAATCATACGTATACTGTAACTGCTAACGTGGAAAGTCCACCAGCAATTCCCATAAAATCCCAACTGCATTGTTACATCCTATTGAAATCAAGTTCGCAGTGTACTTGACACGTCATTCATCACATCGGTGACACCTCACTTACCTTAGACAGCTGACTGGAGGGACGTTGCTTAAGATTATGCTTGCCGACGAGACCTTTCCAAGTCTTCTCCACTTCTTCCGAAAAACCAACGAGCGGAGGCTTACCAGCTACTGAAAACGATACAGTGAGTTACAAAGAGCAGTACAAGAGCGATCTTCAAGATCTCTAGCTTTCCCAAAGAGAAAAGTGGCAATCTAAGTTGTGTTTCGGAAAAATCGGTTCAAATCTCCTGTAACTAATCATGCGAATAAGGTTTTCAAAAGCAGGTTCGTGGAAGTGCTGTCCACATATTCCCAAATGCCTCTGAGGGCACCGAGGGCACCCTACGTCTTTGGATAGATAGAGAACTTCCAGCTATTGCAGAGCCATCGGAGAGGTGCAGATGAACACCACATTGCGCACCCTGTACGCAGCTCTAGGCACTCAGGATTTTGCCCGGCAACGAATTTCTGAACATGTTTTCCTGCTCTCGACAGCTTTTTGAGAGCAGGATCTCTCAGGAAGGATGATCCCTCTGGTATCCATCTCATGCACCCCTCGAATTATTTCGCTCCACTTATACGATAGCTGTGTCCTGTGATCCCATCACACCATAGACTCTACTATTATACCATCAAGTATTTCTGAGACCAGTTAGAGAGAAGTTATCACTTGCCCTTATAAGCCATGCATGAGAGAACTCACCTGATGCAACAGTGAATGACAAGGTGACCGTATCCTTAGATTTGTGCCATTTTCGAATGATCATGGCTGCTGATTCTGAATCGTGAGACAATGGAGGCATGATGAGTGTTGAGCAGCAGTGGTGGACACTCGAATGGAATACAACGGAGTACACTATGGGCTGCGCAACAATTGTAATGTCATTCGTTAGATGTTGTCGCTCACCCCGAGGCTCTTTACGGCTCGACGGAATATCGCGAGTGGTACACTTCTCAATCGAGATACTAGGAAAAGTTCCAGATAAATGCTCTGGTAATTGGTGGTAGTATAGATTGCTTCGTTTTGAAAATGATGAAGAGGATGCAACAAAGTGTGGTAGTTCCAATAGGAGCTGTGGGAACGGCTGGTGCAAAAAAAGACGATGATTCGAGCCTGAGCAATATACGCCTGAGGAGGTTTTTTCTTAGAGAGCTAGCATCAACGATTCCTCGGAAGTGCAAGAACCCCAACTGTTCTCAGATGCTGCATTCGCTATTATGAAACGGGGAATTTTCTGGGTATTGGAACACTTTTCGAAGCATGACCTTTTAATCGGAAAACCCTCCCTCATGATCAGATGAATCAGGACACAAATACTAAGATGCAGCGTTCGTAGTTCGGCGACAGGCAAGCGGGCGAATCGCCAGCGATCGCCCGCGATCGCCGTTGAATCGTCAAGCGACGCCGCCGATCAGTCGGCGATCGCGCGAATCGTCGGTGCATGTCAAGCACGCGCACCCAACGCTATTACTTGCGTCGCGAAGCTTCTGGGGTAACGGCTCAATTTTATGCTTTTTTCCTTTGACTGCAATTTCCTTAGGTACTGAAGCTTGGTTTGACACAAGGGAAGGCGAGCCCAGCTTAATCGCTTTTGTTTTCTATTTTCTTTCTTATTTAGGATAGAAATGAGCAAAAAGCGCGAGAGCTTTCACTTGAGACACGTTTTTATTGCTTCTTTTTTCATTCGTCGAGGTTGTACATGAGGTTTATGAAGTTTTCACCTGTTGATGTCGCGTAAAATGATTAGTGCTTTGGTTCCTAGGAGAGTTTCTTTCTATTTCGTTTTTTTCTTCGTTGTTTGAACTCGAGTTGTAAACTATGAATGTTTTGGAAGTTGGAACAGCGAATTCCTGAGGCGCATGCATAAGTTGAAACAATAAAAACAAAAAAAGAAGCTCACCCAGGAAATGGAGTTGGTCTCACCCCGACCTAAAAGGAAGTGAAACCTTCTTACCTCATATTCCAGATCTGCTTATGTGTAGAAGGTCGTAGTTTGTCTGTTAGTAGCCCTTATTAAGAGTAAAGAAGGTCTTACAAGTTGAATTCCCTTATTCATCAGGCGAGCATTCACAATAGCGTTGGGGCGCGCGCTGCCATGCACCGACGATCGCCGCGATCGCTGGCGATCGCGGCGATCGCCGCTGCTGTCGCGAACTATGAACGCTGGCCTAAAGTGAGGTGATAGGATGGAGGGTTGTCTTTTGGAGCTCTCTTATGGTTAGTCACAACTGCTAGAGTTTTCATCAGGGTACACATGGTTGTGTGAAACACATAAGGGGTATATGAGAGAAATTTGCCGCGTTAGGAAGAAATTTTCCCCAGTTTTTGACTTTTCGCGATTTTTCCTGTTTCATGTGCACTGTGAACCCTCTCCCTCTCCTTTCGACGGAAAATTTATTGGGTGAAAAACTGGAAACTGTTAAGAATAGGTAGGTAGGTTTTGGTTAAGAGGGGGGGGGGGGTAAGTTGTACTAACACCACCATTTCACACATCATGATGCTGTACCGTGACTCTCGAATTGGGGGTGCAAAAAACAGACAAATATAACTCTTGTTCCACCAAAGTTTCGGTGAGAAAACTAGAGTGTTCTCTGAAGGGTCGCAATCGGGCATCTCAGTAGACAGTATGGGGCTTGAAGGCGGAATCTACTTTCGAATAAGCTGCAAACAAGTGAAAGGATCTTGACAAGTAATGAGAGTAGTGCCCTAAAAGGTTCAGATAGGCTTTTTCGTTGGAATCTCTGTGGAAATAGAAAAACGTGGAATCGGATTTTACGAGTCTAAAAAACAATCGCTGAAGTCTGCCTCATACGCATCTCATTAATGTTAATGTCGGAATGATGCAAAAATCTCATCAGAAAGAGCCACACGAAACAGGAAGGAAACTAGACAGTCGTATATGAGCCCTCCAGGCCTCCATGGGGAACTGCTCGGAATCTTTTTCTGAGAAGCAACTCTTCATAGACGGTCCACTTCGGAATCTTCACTGCAAACGATGCTCATTCAAAAATGCATGTCCACAATGGATAGTACGAGTAGACGCTAATAAGGTTGGGACGTCTAATAAGTAATAAGTGCTCAAGTAAGTCTTTCAAAAGTCTACATTTGAAGGACTACTTGTGCCAAAAAATCAGACTAGAGAATGGAGATGAAAAAATGAAATATGAAACAACGAGAAAATTTTTGCCACATTGCCCGAAGGAGTGACGGCTCTAAGATAAGCGTACCAATTTACAGATATTGCCCTTCTGTTTGGAATGAATGTTTGTCTCGCTTTTTGGCCCAATATGTTCGGTTCGGCCGACTAACGTACAAGAAGCACTGTCCTATTGAGGAAAATGAATCAATAAAAAGACTCTCTCAACACAGATACTGAAATGTCACTACTTCATTTACGTTCCTCCAGTTGAAGGAATAATCGATTACCCATTTCTTACCATAAATTTTGGCTACAATACAGACATTTAAAATTGCAGAGGATTGGATCATTGAATACTGAACGATGCGAAATCGGCGTTGTCATTTTGCTTGAAAATCCACGTGATTACAGAAGAAGTGGGATTCGTGGGAAAAATGACTGATGCAATATTAACAGCGATCTTGCAAGTATGCAACTGTTCACTAAAATAAATAGAGGATGAAGTGCTACCTATGATATTGTTTCAAGTAAGACAAAGTAGTGGACGTTGACGGGTACGCCAAGCAGCTTTCAAGGACCAGAGAAAGAAAACTTTTCAGAAAGCCCTAAAATCGATGATAATCTCTGCCGAAATCAATACCATGCAGCTGACACTTTCATAGCAGTTTGACCAAAGTGACCAGAATGAATTTTCATACAAGGAAAATTCTTCAGAAAGTAGGCTTACTGTTAAAAACAGCTAACATCCGCAATATATTGAATAGCGTTTGTATAAACAGGGGGGGAAGAGGGTCTTGACATGTAATATTCAAATTAAGTATGTCGGCTGCAAGTTTCCGTAAAATCCAACACTGAAGCGAGTTGTTTCACGCCACTCAATCGACGAACAAACAGAACGACGAGTTTGCAAGAGGTTGCATCAAATGATTAGCCGATTTTTTGTGAAACACACCCACAGATGGATTCGAGGACCAAGTCATTCAGGATCGGGGCTCAGAATCTCCGGGCTTGGATAGCAGAGGGTCAGTCTTGAGCCTAGGGGATTGACGTAGACCTCATGGTTGAAGTGACATCCTAACGCACGACGGAGTACCCAGCTTTTCTCTTTTATATTACTCCGGGAGGAGAGGAGGGAAGTAATTGCCTAGTAAGAAGTGCAAGAGGCGGTCTTCAACGGGACTTTTTATTGGTATTCAAGAGGCCGCAGATGTTTCGCGGAAGATGTGATGCAGATTTTAGCGGCGACACATCTGGATCATGTCTAACACGCATGAAAATCTTTATAAACTTTTACTTAATTGAGTTCTGGAATGTGACGATCGTTGATGTACTGCAGCATGAATTTCATAGAAAATGTGGTAATTACCAATACCAATTCGCATGCCAACACCAAACTCTAGCTTGAAAAAACAATTTTTTTCGTCAATTTTTTCAAAAATGGTCGTTCTGACAACGCAGCAAAAAGTATAGTTCCACCGCACATTTTCTCATTTTTGTTCGGTGAAACTTCTCATCATTATGACTTCTTGCCTCTTCTAGGCTATATGGCAAGTGGAACTTCATTAATGGACCTCGAAAAAGGACAGATTATCGCAAAGAAGACTCAAAAACTGGTGAATCGTCGAATGGCGCGGGATGCGGGCCGCACTCATCATGCTATCAACAATTTTTTCCAAGGGACCTACAGGATATGAGAAGAGCTCTGGACATCCTCCTTTGCTGCCCGATCGGAATAACCGCCGTATCCTTAGGAAAGCATCCAACTCTGCAGTGTCGTGTCGGGAAATCAAGTCATCGCAGGTTAATGTCTCGGAGGATACTGTTAGGCGTCTCTTGAAAAACTCCCGAGTTCACCCATAGGGGAATATGAGTTACGTACTGTTTCTAACGAAAAACCATCGCGAAAACCTAATTGGCTTTGCTCGAAGATGTTGCCGAACCCAATGGAGTGAGGTTAGCTTTTGGCTGCGGTGCCCTACTGCTTGTCTGTAGTGTTTTTCAGTTTTTTTTCTCGCGGTCGTGTTTTCTGATGAGAAAAAATTCAACTGCGACGGCTCCGACGAAAACCGATTCCGCTGGCACGACCTGAGGGAAGACAAGTTTCATTTTTCCGGGCGGAACTTCAGTGGATGTGGTCTCATGGTCTGGGCTGCCATCGCATCAATGGAACGTCTGAAACTGTGCTCCGTATGAAAAAAGAAATGATTTTCCGTCATCTAAAAGTCATGCGACAACGTCTCCTTGCTTTCTGGCGTAGAAATCAGCAAGAAAGTCCCGTTTTCATGCAGGATAATGCACCAGTTCATGACAGTCGAAGCACTCGAGCGTGATTCAGTTGTCACCAAACCGCTCTTTTGCCCTGGCCAGCGAGTAGCCCCGACTAAAACCCAATCGAGGATGTGAGGGGCTTCATGGTGCGTATGATCCATGAGAGTAATGCACAATTCCACAATGTCCGTGAGCTTAGGGAGTAATCATTGGGGCAGTCGGCCGAAAGCCTATTAAAATCTCTAATCGAACATGGGCAACCGTATTTTCCAACTTAATTGGAGAAATAGAGTTCCAATAGATTACTGGATCAAAAAATTATTCAAACTTCCATTTTATTTGTCACGTTTGCTATCGGAATATTCGATTTGTTTGGTGGAATATATAGTTATGGC